GGAAGGGGGGGAGGGGGGGGAAAGAGGGTAGGAGGACAGTGAGGCAGTGACGTTGAGGGGTCCCTTCTCCTACTCGTATGCACAGTTCAGCCTATATATACAGCTAAGGGATGAAACACAGGCTGTATCATAAAATGTCTTCATTTCACATGACATTTAAGTGAAATCCTTCCATTCTTCTATTTCCTTTTAGATAATATTGAACAATTAGTGCTTCAGAACTTACCAAAATGCGCTTTTCTGGTCAGAATCACTTGACCACTGGCCAACTTGATGGATGTGTCAACCTTCTCTTGGCTTGCATTACGCAACATATCATTGATTTTTGTTACTTCACACGAAATGCCGTTTCCAGCAGAAGCGCGAAATCGCTGTACTGTTGCCCATTCTTCTGTTTTTAGCCACTGTAAATGCATCGTTAGTTTTGAAAAGATTCCACACAGTCTTCCGACAGTGATAACACAAGCAGACTGCAGCAACTAGGTTGACCTAGAAAGCCTAACAGGTAGGAACACGATAGGTGACAATATGAGAGAGAAGGAGATAAGAATGAGATAAGACGTTTCGGTCCATTAAGTCATACAAGCTTTTAATTTTGATTTTAAATGGTTTATGATTATGAAAGATTGTAAGAAGATAAAAAGGGGAATATGAATAAAATTAAAATCTGAATGGGAATGTTTCGGTCCATCAAGTTAACTGAACACTGCGCGACAGGATCTTGTCAGTATAACAAATTTTAGCTTAGATATGACGATATTTATAATGGCGCTAAGAAAGTGAAAGAAAAAACAATCGGAACTACGAAATTTAAAGCCGACGATACATCAGTTGATACGTATCTGCCAATGTGAATGTATAAAGATTGTCGAAACTAATGCATGTGAAGAAGCTGGCAACGTTATGGATGCAGAAGCGTTTTGTGTTAGGTCCTCACGTGGTCTTTGACTGCAGCAGCGGAAGACAGCGAAGACTGTCAGCAATTTATTCTCAACAAAAGCTTCACTTCAATAAAACGACGAGTCGAGGCATCGCACGAGCTACTGAGCAGAAGGGGACGCTAACCGTGTCGAAGCCGCCAGTTAGTAGAGTTAGTTGTGGCAGGACGTAGCAGACCAGTGACGTGCGTTAAATCCGAGACCGAGGACCAGGGTTTTCGGAAGGGTTTATGTGGGGAAAATTAATGGGGGAAAAGGACAGCAAGGTAGTCAGTAAGTGAGAAGTAATACGGAATTATTTAGAATTTGGTGGAACTGCTAGAAATTAGTGAGTGGAGCGAAGTAGGTCGAAGTGTTAAGCATTAGTGAGAAGAGGAAAATAGGTAGGTTTACACCTGTAAATTAGTGTTAATGCATAAAATCTGCTTATTTTAATAAAAAAAAAAGTGCTTTTTCAGCCCTACCTCTTTCACAAATGAAGCAATAGAGCTCGCAAGTGGATGTTCGCTGTTCGATTCTGCCGAGCCAATTGCTGCGAACATTTTGAAAAGTGACATGCAATTTTCGCCGATAACAGTGTATATACGGAAAACGCGCGGACGACCTTCTGTCACAGTACCCGTCTTATCCATAACAACAGTGGTCACCTGAAGAAATAACTTACTGAAGCCAGGAAACGAAATTCTGAGTAATTTTGCGCTTAAAAATTATCGATTTCGTGGGAACAAAACGTTTCACTCGATTTCTTCTGAGCCTTGCAAAAAAACAGTCAAAATTTCCCTTCCTTTTTCGGTATCCGTGAGAGGCAGAGGCACTCGAAAGCAGTTCGAACAGTAGAAAAATTCAACGGTAACCACCCATCAAGTTGACTCCGGAAGCCAAAATGGTGAAAACGCCACGGAATACAACATGAAAGAACAGTATGAGGGAAGAAGGTAAGAGAGTGAGATAAGACGTTTTGGTCCA